CTGTAGATCTCCTGATCCCACACGAGTGTTTGTATTTGGAGCAATTGGTGCACAATAGTGTGCCATTTGATACAATTCTATAACCGATGCAGTACCCCTACAATTCACTGCAAGTAATGTGGGTTTTGTGTGAGAGTAGTTTTTTTTTTAACTTATGTTGCAAAATGTGACATAGAAGGCTTTCACATACAACAAGGAAGTGATGATAAAAGGTCAGAGCCTTGATCAAGACAAGGAGCCTTTGTTGGTGACCTGAAGTCTCTTGTGCTTTTGCTCTGCCCTCTAATTTCCAGAGGAGACAAGCAGGAATAATGTGATTCAGTCGAGTGGGTGGTAATATGAAGACCTTCATTCAAAAGCAAGAGTCTGCAGCATCAAAGTAGGCTTCAGATGTATTGATCTATTTGTCTGATTACCATTAGCTACAGACAAATCAAAACACCATCACATCTCTGTTGGATCAATTTGTGTGTCTGCCATGTGATATTATACAGCTGGAAGAGAGCAGTAGCGAATCAAAAATATATCCTCAAAGAACTGCTGATTGTTTAATTGGTGGGGAAAAATCCTTGAGCAACAGAGTATTCAGCAGAAACGCTTCCACTGAGTGATTTTCCTCCTGGTTAGGCTCCAGTACAGTGTACACCCAGTGGGCTATGTACACAGTGGCGGTTGTTAAACATATCCTGCTGTCTGGTGTCAGTTTTACTGTGTGTGCTTCTGTTGGGATGTAGCCAGACTTGCCAGCAAGCTAAAGATCGCTTTCACTTTAAATGGATCACAAAAGGTGATATCTGGCTGAGGGTGTGTGGAGATCAGCTCTGTGGGGATCTGAGAGGAACAATGTGTGAACTATCAGCTCTTACAGCAGCGGCTGGTTTCTATCCTCTGTGTGTTAAAGGTCTAAACCCCTCATACAGAACATATTGAAAATAAAATTGGGGTTTAGGTTGTGGAAGCAATTTGTGTAAAAATTATGTATTGGTGATATGTTCTCTAAATGATGACTGATGCTGATGACTGTGATGATTTTCATAACGGGAGGGTTGCCTGTCATCCTCTTAATGATGTATCAGGATGAAATAATCATCAGCATGAACTCTTACAGTCTTTAGGTTACTTGATGTCATATTTCCATCATTAAATACAGGACATAGCTTTTTTTTGTTTTGTAAGGCTCTTTATGTCAAATGCATTGATATTATACCTAAGATAAGGATCTTCTTGAGATACATGTTATGAGTCTGTCAAGTAGCAATTATGCAGAATAAAAAAGGCTTGTGATCTCACTGGTATTTTCAGGCTAATAACAATGAGCCATGATGACAATCATATGGTTGTCTTTTGTGCCTCATTACAATAACTCTCACCAAACATTGTATATTGTCCATTATGGTCTCTCTGTAGCAACCTTGAGAGGGGATCAGCGCATATAAATCTAAAAGTATTCAGAGGGATTGTCAGCAGGGGGTAGCCCGATGTCTAGAGGCTGTAACAGACAGTGAGTTGCATGGGTGTTGACAGGGTCCCAAGTGAATGCTGTAATGTGCTGTACATCTCCATTTGCACCAAGTGTTTTTAAGCCCCTTCAGCTCATGTTGTAGGTCACTTTTCTTTAAAAAAAAAAAAACCTACTAATTTTTTAACTTGTCTTCATGACTACTTCAGTAGCATTGCCTTAATTTTCATTCAGGCAATTAATTAAGCCTACGTGAAATAAAAGTGAAACTTTTAAATTTGTGAAAACTGTCTGCATTCACTACATAATTAAGTAATTCATTAGAGGAGTTATAAAATAGACCAATGATTTTGTCTCTGTGTGTTCTTAATATATGTGCAGATGGAAAAAAAAAGATTGCGCTCTCAAATTAAAGAGTGTTTTAGACCTTGTGCATTGACATAATAGACATATGTGCCATCTGGCTTTCCCTATACTGTCAGAGCGTAAGATGGGCTGTTCTTATCTTCAGATTAATAGTAATTTGAGCTAAAATCCATTTATAAATGTCAAGTCTGTTTCAGATAAACTGTAAAATGTCTGCTCAAATGTGTAACTGAACTACATTTTGATGACATAACACGTCTTTTCTTTCATTATTTATTGTTGTTCAATTGGGGAAAAAATCTCTGCTCATGTGGTAGTTATAGTTTTCTACACGCAGTAGAAGTATGAGTCTATTTATCAAGTACCAGCATCTACTCTAGGGGGAAACAGATTGCATGCTGGCCTGCTACAGACTTCATCAGGTCATCTGAATTGATGATACATGTAGCAAGGCGGCTGAGTTCCCCCGGAAACCTCTGTTGGAGCGCATGCTGGCAGAGACGGGGGCCTCAGCCAAGACTGTCTGACTGATCACTACAGATGCTCCTCTTCAAGTATTCCAAGACAGATCCTTAGTGCTGGGTCTTGAGGGACAAACAATAGCACCTGTTCCTCATAAGATAGCCCATTCATGTATCTTTAATGAAGTCTGGGGGCAGATGGTGTGAAATGACATTATCCAGTACTTAGCAGTGCTAAGACAAAGGAAGAGCAGTGCCAGCACAACAATGCTGCTGTATTTACAAGGAGTAAGGAGGACACTGCCCAATGTTCACCCCACCCCCACTCTCTCTCTCTCTCTCTCTCACACGCAAACACACACACACACACAGACACACGCAAACACACATCTGCTCCACTTCATTCTCTGACTCCTCAAGATCATCTTGGCATTAGAAATATCCTGGGCACACAGCCCATACATAGATGAACTTGAGGGTAAGTCTTACAGTCAGGGGGGGTTGGGTTGTAGTTACAGAGGAAGAGTGTGTACACTTGCACACATCTGTACACTTTTTCTGCCGAAGTTTTTTTTTTAATGTAGACTTATCTTTTTCTTTTACTTAAAAATAACTTTCGCTATTTGTTACTACTTTTAAGCCGCTCGAAATTTGATTTGCTTTTTCTGACATTAGTTGCTGTAAATTAAACTTTAATGCTTGGAGCTCATTACGGCAAATCACGCCATTCAGACTCAATGCATTTATTTCCCTTCAGTGCACATTTCCTCTCTGTCTTCGCCTCGATGAACGGTATATATTCTGCTCCATATTTTAAATAATAACAGTAATAAAAGCTGATATCCCAGATGAAATTGTATCACTTAGGGTTTATCATTTAGTGGTGCTGGAAAAAATGCATCCTTATTTCAGATGATTTGACCCAAGTGCACTTAAACATGAAATGTCTACAATCTCGTATAGACTGTGTTTTTTCTATCAAATAATTGAAAAAATTAAGAATGTATTTCTGTGAATGAGATTTGATATTTAAAGCGTTTTTTTGTGTGACATCATGGCCATTCATTTCTCAAACGAAATATACACTCGTCTGCTCGCAGAGGCGATAATATCTGACTGATTATCTTTAAAATTATATCGGTGCTATGTTTTTTTGGGTGATGTTTTTTAAAGTTATTCGAGCAGGAAGTTAATAAGTAAGAAAACTCACAAGTCAGAAGATGCTTTTTGTTTAATCTGTTAAACGCAGTTCGTTTGAAACTAAACTCTTTGCTGATCTGTGCCAACTTATTCATGAAAATATATGGACCGCCACGTAACTCACTTTTTTTTTTACACAGTTGAAGGGATAGAAGCTTGAGGGAGTGCTTTTGACTTCTGACTACCGTACATTCAGCAACAGACTCCATCTGTTTTAACAGTCCAAATACACGGACAGAGAAAAGCTGTGTTCCCCAGTGTCCCTCCATCCCCCCATCCGAGGCCTGTCACTGGCCCAACCTCATGTTGTGACATTAATTATTGTGTTTTTCCATATGTTCCATACATGTAAGACCAAGCTCCATCTTTCATCCATTCAGCCTGGAAACTTGGAACTCTAATCCCTATAAAGCAATATTTTATTTAGGGACATTTGTCGTAGTCTCCTTGGCCATTTATTTTTCTTCAGCAACAGCATATTTTCCAGAATTACTTTTGGAAGAATTACATACTTTTCTATTCTTCTGCACTTGCACTTCTGTAAACGCTCAGTAGACATAAAATAGCTATGTATTTAGTTTTCAGTCTAGCTTTGCACATCTGGACAAATCAATAAAGTTGTCTTAAATGGGTTTAGCGTGCTAGCTTTGAGAGAAACTAGGTGCAAATACTGCAGTAAAAGGTCTACAGGGGGGAGCAGCACAGACCGAAAAAGTGGAGATCCTAGCAGACTTCAGCCAGAACATGGGACAGCTTGATTTCATGCCCCAATGCAACGGCAGTAATTGCACCCAGACCTGTTTTATTGCCAGTTGATTTTAAGAGGGATGAATGGAGAAACATTCTGTAAAGTGTTTATTTTGGGGATGACCTTTATTAACCCATTTTCCAGGCAGGTTCCCCTGAGGTGGTCTGGCTCAGTGCTAGATTAACCCTCACTGGCCCATGGTAGTCTGGCTGCTTCCTATCACAGAGTCTCAGGAAGCTGGAAATGACAGAAAAACTGGACTTACAACTTTCAAACGCAGGGTGTTTGTGCTGATTTTAGCGGATGATATATGAAAAGAACAGAGACAAATAGAGTCAAATTAAATGCAGCACTTGCCTGCTATTTTTCCCACCTCTGAAAGCAGTTAAAGTGAGTGACTGGATTGTCTATCAGATTTTACGATGTCATTAAATGATCTAACATTAAGTAATTGATCTTCGCCTGGAGGGGTCTGTGCTCATGCATGTACAGTACATACTGATCAGCCCTGCCTCTGCACCTGTGTAACAGGCCCTCCTGCTGACACTCTGAATCCGCTGCAACAGTCATGGTCATTGCACATATTTCTGTCAGCACGCGCAGTACTGTTCCACAGGAGCACTACAAGACTACCGGAGCTCTCTGCTTTCTGTCCAGCATGTCACTTCCTCTAACTTATGATGGAACAATGTGAATGGGCAGGGCCTTTGAAGTACGAAGGTAAAATTATGGTTTGGATTAGGAGGAGGCCAAGCTCGGCCAGGTAATGTGCAAGCACACGAGAGCCGTCGTTGCTGCAGAGCCCCCTGTCAGCACGCGTTAGGAGGAGCTGTGATCTGGCCTCCCCCCCGAGTGGGCTCTGTGTTTCTGTGTACCATCCCTATGCTTAGGCCTCTCTCTGATCTCTGCTCTCTATCTGTTTAGCAGGTCCAGGGTCACATGCCTCCGCTCATGATCCCCATTTTTCCACACGACCAACGCACTCTAGCAGCAGCAGCTGCCGCCCAGCAAGGCTTTCTCTTTCCCCCCGGGATGTCTTACAAGCCAGGTATGCTTTCTAATTAAGTCTTTGTAATTGTTCCATTTTTCTTCTTGCCTGTCTTTATTATTTACACTTACACATGTACCATAGTATTATTTTAGTCTGAAAACTTGTGAACATGCACAACAATCCAATAAATGCTAGGCATGCATCAGAGGCCTTTTATAAGCTCTGCTCTTTCTGAATTTGGATCTGAGACAAACTAATGATATAGTCCATGTGAGAGTAGTAGTAGATTATTTAAAACATTGAAGTATATCTTTTTTATTTACATAATTGTGTGATAGGATCAATTTGGTAAACAGAGGACAATTGTAATCTGTCAAGGTTGTGTATAGGGCAAAAACTCTTGTACATTTAACTTTCCACTGCATGTAACAGTCTGTTTTTTCCTCTTTGTCTTAATGGATCAAGTTCCACCCCCTTTAAAAATAGCTAAAAAAGAACAAAACAAAATAATACCTTGATCGATGTGCTGTCAAAGCAATAACTTGACAAATCTCCACACCATTGTGAAAAGGAAACTAACTGTAAAAAAATTGCTTCCTTTTTTCAGTAAATGCTTTTCACATCACAAAGCCGACTGTATTAACAATACGATATTTAGATGTTAAGCCCCCCCCCCCCCCCCCCCCAAACACACACACACAGAAAAGAAATGAGACAATTGTGTTGATGAAAATTGTCACTCAGTTATGTTCCCTTCTGTGTAAAATAACACCAGAAAAAGAAGAGGATTAAGAACATTCAGAAGTCAGCAGGTTCACAACAGAGCATTAAAAGGTGTGGTAGAGCAGTTAATGAATTAACTATGGAACCACAAGATGAAAAAGAAAGTCAGCTATTTTGGAACTATGGAGCCATGACAGCTTAAACAAAATGCCTGAAGGGGAGTCTTTTAGCACTGAGCTTTTTCGCAGTAGATTTGACGGGAAAATGTTTTAGCTCAAATAACAAGAGCTATTATGGAATCCTGTTCAGGGGTCACAAGGTGTATGATTCTTGCATAATTCATGAGCACATGAGGAAATAGAAAAGGGGTCTGAAATTGCTCTTTAAGTCAGGAGAGACATTCTTAAAACCTTATTTCTACACAATATATTCCAAGAGTACAATGTTATCATCACCACCTGCAGGGTATACAGGATTCTGCTGTGTCCTTTCTCCATGAAGGGAGGCCAAGCATTCACTTCCAACACTTAGGCCCACTAATCTGATGTTGGCATTATGATAGAGTTCACAGGGACTGCTGCTTATGACCTCCAACCCTGTGGTGTGCTCTCATGGCAATAGCGTAATTTTGGCACCATAGCGGTAAGTCATCACCCCATCCTCTGGCTGTGCTCAATGGCCTGGCGTTGCATGGTAGTCAAGCACAGTTATAGAGATACCAAGTCATCGTTTAAACAAATAGATACAAGTTGGACTTGCACAGTCTATTTGCACTGTTCACAACATTCAGTTTGAATAGCCTCTAATGGACTTGCAGAATGACCCCATAGTCTTGAGGGTCCTCTGTCTTTCTCATAGACGTCCCACTGAACATTGATGGCTTCCCCATGCTCTTTCATTACGTGTCACATTTCAACCGCTTTCTGATATTGTGGCATTTGTTATTTAAGTTCATTTGAGTTGGCCAGCGTGGTTTTCTATATATTCTGCGAGCAAATGTAGTTGTTTTTCATTTTTGCTTCATGGTCCAAATAGACTAGAATATATTTTCTTACATTTTTATTTTTAGTTAAACCTGTTTTGTAACAACTCAACTTTAACCCAGTGAAAATAAAACTTAGACCAAGTGGAAAGAGCATTCCATTTATCATTATTCGAGCTATCCCAAAAAAAGGTCTGTGTGTCAGCCTTCAGCAGATCTATGACTTATACTGTATTTTATGGGGTCACATAACCTTGGAAATCAAGCCATTGTGCCACCTACGTCACTTCACCCAGTAGCATTTAGGAAACGGACTCTGATTGTTGCAAAATCTACTTTCAAAAAGTTACAAATGTTTTCCTTTTCAGCATAGATGACGCCAAACTGGCGCTAAACTGATTCCTCTGGAGACTGGTGCCTCTATATATCCAAGACCCTGACCCAGAGCATGAGACCCCCCTCAGCAGTTATATTGTGGCTCATGACTCTCCCCAGGTTTCACATGACATCGAAAGACATCCAGTCATTTATTATCCTCAAACCCTACGTCACAGACAGGATAGAGCAAATGAGACAGAGAGAAAGTGATACCAAAAAGAGGAGGTGTAGAAATAACCACAGCACACCCCTTGTACATCCAACCGAGCACTATTTGAAACCACCTCTGCTGTGTGATTTTATTTGCCACTAAATGGGGATTGAATTTCCATGGCCTGTATCACATTGTGCTGTGGTGTACAAGATTGCGGAGGGAGTCAGGCGAACGAGGGCAAAGTGAAAGAGAAGGTACATACATTTACCTTGTCTGTGGTTTAATGGCTCCATATGTTTGTGAGGAGAAGTGACAGGCAGAAGTGGGGTCTGAGCGAAGGCCAACAACCCCTCCCCACTCCCACTGTGTGCCCCCACCTCCTCCTCCTCAGACACATGGCTCAAACTAACCTCCCCTGGATGAAAGCTGTGCCGTCTCACTGGGGATGTTCTGTCCATCTCAACACACTGGGCTGAGTGTGTAAAAGCCCCTGCACTCCCATGGATATCACTCAAACTGGAGCCATTTTTATATCCCTGTCTGATAAATGCGCTGATGGCAGGCCAATAGAAATGAATAGTGCCGCTTTTCAAAACCAGTTTCCCCTCGCTAGATCCCTGTGATATGTGAGATAAGAATGTGTTGGAATTTTTTTCATCCATGTTATTGTGACTGCACACTTGTCCCAACCAGTTTGCATACAAGTGCTTTCACTGTGCTGCCAAAGCTATCACTCAGGAGCAAACAATGGGTTGAACGATAGCCAGACATGTCTGCAGCTGTATAAAATGCCTGAGAGAACATGCATATCCTTTTACAAGCTCACTTACTGCATACAAGTTAAGATACTTAACTGGATCCAAAAAATTCAATATACTCTCAAATGAATAAATACACTTTATAAGATCTCCTAACTTGTTCAACTATGTAGTATTGCCATGGTTTATTTTTCGGGATAAATACACTGGTGGAGTAAGAACGGAGTGGTGTGAAATGCTCTTAAGCCCGCTTCAGTCAAACCACCTTATCCTTTTGTTAATGCAGATGTTTGGGCTTGTAGCCGAGGTCTCATTGCAATGTGCCACATAGCTGTGGCAGAAGCAGTGGAAGGCCCACAATCCATGTTGGCACTTGCCTTGTCACCGTGGGCCAGCTCATTGTCTGAACCTGTATGTATTGTCGTTTCTCTCCCTCTCTCTCTCTCGCTCTACTTCTCTGACAGGTGATAACTACCCAGTGCAGTTCATTCCATCCACAATGGCAGCTGCAGCAGCGTCAGGACTCAGCCCCCTCCAGCTTCAGGTATGTACATTTCTATGACAAAGAATGCTGGGAAGCGGGCCAAGCACAGGGCAGAAAGGATGGCTAAGCAGCTGTACGCTAAGTAATGAGCTGCACACTAAATAATCCTGAAGGGCCCCGGCTCACACACGCTTATCACCTTACATATGTAATTTATCCCCATTTTATAGAAGATGTATCCCCAGTGGTTCTGCCAGACAGAGGAGTTAGGAAGATAATAGTTATTAGAGAGAATGAGAATTACTTTGGTTGCCTTAATCGTCTTCCAGTGAATTTATCAGAGGACAATTGACTGTGTTGGAATCTCCTTTATATTGCTTTTATCTAGCCAAGCTGCAGTACAATTAAATTTAGCTGTGAAAGAAGGGTGAAAATAAGACATATTTAACTATGTGTGTGAGGGGGAAAAACTCATGGGATACAATGCTAAGTGAGAATGAGTACATGTTTGCAGAAAAGCCCCAGAAAATGTTGAGATAGGCCCAAAGCCCTACAGGCTGCTCCAGGACTTTTCTCACACAGCATTTAAAAGAGCTGAACTCAGGTCAAGGCTTAACCTGAGGCCATAATGTTTAATGTAGATAATTATCTGCTTTTTATCCTTCAAATTATTACTATTATAAATACTGCTACCATGGCCAGTTTCAGTCCATGCATTATCTTATTTTCCAAATTGGTGATAATGATTGTCTTCTTATTTTTCCTACTGGAATTTGTTTACACAGAAACATATACACAGAAATCTGACTCACAAAACATACATGTCAGTAGCATTGCTGGTTCTCTCATTATCAGTTACTGTTGCATATCTAAGTAATTGTAGATTATTTTTGTGTGTAATGCTTGAAATCAGTGCTTATATATTTTTTAAACAAAAGGAGAAAGTGCTGGAGCAAAAGCATCTCCATTAGCACATGGTTTAGAGGCCGCTGCTTCTTTGCCATCAACTACAGATATTTTTTTAGATGCTGATTGTGACGCTCATCAGCAACAAGAAATATAACTAGACTGAAAAAGAGAGCTCAGTAACAAGTTCAAAACTCTTTGTACTCTTGATTTATGTCGCACTTGTCCTTCAGAGGCTACAACCGTCAGTGCTAACGAGCCTTGGCAAGTTCTAACAATGCATGCAGCTGGCTCTGAAGAGCTTTGCGTCATTATGTAGCCACGTGAAAAGTTATCAGAGGCATGCAAGGTGTTAAATGAGTCTGCTCATGTTTGAAGATGCGTGTCTCCAAAGGTAAAATATGGAGGCTTCTCTTGTGAATACTTTTCTGGAGTGCACGCATTACGCTGCTTATGTATCTTAGAGGAGTTCATTGGGAGGGAGTGTCAGTTTAGACAGACATGCTCAGGCTATTTATAGGGGTGTATGGGGTCAGATGAGACAGTCATATATCTGAGGGTAGGGGTGAGAAGGGAAGACAGGGCTATAGTCATTAATTATGATTATGTATCTAACCCTGGGAATGGGCAAAAACAGTGCCTCCAAGACCATGACTTGGCTGACCTTTAGAGAACACAGTAAACAAAAAGAGGTGTATTTTCCATTAATTGAAGTCTGTCAGGCTGTCACATATTCCGCCTGCTGGCTGCTATTTACCCTGCAGAGAGATTCCCCTCAAAACAGTAATGGAAGTCAAACATGCCCTTTTCTACATAGCTGGGATCAACAAACCATGTGACTGCTACCACTTCCTCTACAAAGCACTGGGAGCCTGCTATGATTAAAAACACCATATCAACTCAGACATGGAATTAAGTTTGAGTCGTTCCCACACTTTTAGGGCAATAACAGCACCAGCACCCTTCCTAAAAAAATGTAACTATTGAAAAGTGTTCCAAAGCACATGAGAAAAAATAAATGTTATTTTCTAAGAAAAAATTATAATTAGTTAGTTTATGATAGAACTAAATAAGCAGGGACTTTGTCTTAAAATTTGTAGAGTGAAATAATGTTAATATTACTTGTTCATTATTCGATTACATTTAAGTCTTCATCTAACACTTTTCTTATTAACCCTTGGAGCTTCCCTGAAATATATATAGTTTTCAACTTAAACCCTTTGTTTGTCTTCCTTATAAACTTATACACACTAACATAAATAAAATCCCACACACATATGGATGAAGGGGTTGATCCCCTCCATTAAAATCTCTTTTCTTGTCAGCTGCCTGGCAAGGTATAATTTTCACCAATTTGTTCAGTTTAGATTGTGCAATATATGAACCTTAAAAAATATCTTCTTGGTAGAATTAATTCCCACAATGCTCTAGAGGTAATGTGATCAGCCATGCAGCCAGCGAGGCTAGCTGCTCCGTCACTCTTAATGTTGGCCACACAGCCTCTACACAATCTCCTCTGTCATAACAGTCTGAGATCCTCCCCCATTTCCCTGCCTTTTCTCTTGACTAGAAGAAAAACCCAACAAGGTAACAAAGGCTTAGAGCTGATGGATGTAAATGAATCTTCCAGGGTGCGTTAGAGTGTTTGGAGACTGTAATTTGCTTGTCAATACAGGGTGGTAACATCACTCTGGTGGCTGACAGTCTGCAAGTGGCTGTCACCAGCCATTGCTGTACCACAGGGCAATTTCACTCAATGTTTTCCTGACAGATTGGCTCTGGTCCGCAACTCACAGGAGAGGAGGCGGGTAAACTACCCCAGCGAGACATGCCCCTCTTCATTAGTGCCCACACAGAGCTGAGATGAGCCCAGGACCAGCAGGAAACAATGGCTCTATCCCTGCCTGTCCCTCACTGATTACAGCTGACACGTCTCACCTAACAGAGGAAATTGTGCTCAGATTGTAGCCCAATCTATCCGGACATCTACCATATTCAATTGACTTCGGAGACAAGAAGGGAATTTTCCTAATTCCACAAAAGAATTTTCTATCCGGGACAGCATTTAATTTTCTGTTTGTACACTATTTCTTACAAAAAGAGTATACTCAAAGATAGGATAAAATAATACATCATCTCGTTAATGGTACAAATTAATTGTAAGAAAGCCTACAAGCATGTTCTGTTTTGAATCTTTGAAAGCAGACATTGAAGTTGAGGCCATTAAAAAAAACAGTTTTGGATCACATCTGATTATTCTTTGTAAATTACCAATATTTAACAACAATTTTGAGAGGAAACCTTGCTTTGATTTAATGCTATCCACATCTTATACCACCCCTGAGTATCTGACTCCGTAGGAATTTCTTTGTCCATTTCCTCAGTGTCATTTTCTTTTCTCATTTCACCTGGGATTTGTTTGATTTTTCTCCTCATGAATTGTCTTGACCTGTTTGCTTTACAGTGTTGGAAAATGAGCATCTTGAGCTCAGACATAGCACTAATTACATTTATACCTATTTGTTGTTGCATCTCTTTAGGCCCATGATAAACCGGAGCCCATCCTCAGTTTGTCCTCCCACTGCAAAGATGAAAAGCAGCCCATATGCTTAACAGCAGCCCAGACTAGATCTCAACCAGAGAGACACATCTGAAGGAGTACTCACTGGCTCAGACGACTGCAGTGATAAGAAAGAGTGTTACACAGTCAGGGACAAACAGGAAGAAAGTGGGAGAGCAGCAAACCGCACATTATCTTTTGTTTAGATGTAAATGCCTGTGTGGTACAGATGTGAAGAAATGGCTTCTATCATTAACAAGTGAAGCAATTTTGACTTTGAAAGAGAGGAAAAGAGGAGGAGGAAGAGGAGGAGGGCGAAAGGAGAGGCATACTGTAGAGAGCAGCTGTTTTTGTGTTCATGAGCAAAGGAGCTTGGTCTTTGAAGGTAACCCAAAGCAGTGTAGAAATGCTAGAGTGTGAGGAAAGCTGGCTAATAGGACAGCTAGGTGAGCAGCTGGAGGGAGACAGTGGTGAACAGAGGGACAGATGGACAGATAGAGTTGATAATGCAGTGAGCAGCAGTGAATGGGAGGGCTGACTCCGGGGGCCGTGGGCCTGAAGTACCCACACTTACACAAGACCGAATGTGACTGTGTGTGTCTGTGAGTGTGTGGCAGAAAGAAACGGAGAAAACAGGATGTAAATATATATATATAGTTCTAAGATGAAGAAACAGCGAGTGGAGGGGAGGAGGGTGGAGGATTAGAGCAGAGCAGGTTGGATGCCAGCAGATGAAACAGATGTTGAGCCATACTGGAAAGCTTCGGCACAGTGCACCAGAACGCCTTCTTCCACTCTTGACATCTGGGCCTTGCCTGGGTCAGCCTGCATGGTCGCCCTGGGCAATGAGCCTATACAAGCCTTGTGGCAAACGGGGCTGGCGCTGTGCTGCCTTTTAAATGGTGTGGTGCACTGAAGCACAGTTAATGCCCTCATATCCAGCCCAGAGCTCCGTGCCCTGGCCAGACAGAGGTGAATGAGACATTGACATACAGACACACAAAGATATGAGCACGACAATTAGATTATTCTTGCTTCATGGAAAGGAAGATATTTGCGCTGTAAAATTTAAAGGTTTTTTGTCTTTGTCTTTGCCAAAGAAAGATATTTGCGCAGTAGAATTGAAAGGTTTTTGTCTTTGTCTTTGCTTTTACTTACGTGTGTAGCGCATTATTGCTGAAAACATAAAGGTCGAAAAACAACATTGTATTTTAAGGTACTCGTTGCTATACAGCAACTGTGTTATCCTCGAAAAAAGAGCAACAAATTCTCAGGGTTCTTTTTTATCTTCTGCAGAGATAAAAACAATAAAATACAAGTTGAGTGAAGCATCCATACACTTTATCTGCACTTCATATGTTTGACATGTTTACTATCATCAGCATAGTGTACAATTTCAGTTTAGTGTTTCTGGCAGAAAAGTGGATATCCCCATTTAGCCTCTTCTTCCTCCCGAGGGCTTGTTTTTTAATTACCAAAGGCTAACAAGCTGACCTTGGGTGTGTTGGACTCATTTAAAATCTGGGGTTGCTGAGATCTGGGAAAAAAGGGATGATGGGGTCAAAACAAAGACATTAGCTGTTGTGTTTCTTTTTTTATTCTCATAGATGTGTTTCTATAATCAGAACAATTAAAAATCACTTCAACTGTATTGTTTTACTTTGACATAATGATGCTCATTCTTCAAAATAAAAACAACATATGCATAATATGTGAGGAGTAAAGAGGAAATGGAAAATGAAAATGAGATTATTGCAACTAAAACATTCACTTTCTCTTCCTGGATTACCGGAGTAAGACATTAGTAAGACATTAAACAAGTCTAGTTCAAATATGAAGAAAACAGCTCGGTTTGCTCCTGTGTCAGATCCTATCGCAGACAAAAGGCTGTTTGTGAGGGAGGTAGAGGCAGCACTATCATTGTGGGAACTTAATCAGTCTGTCATTTCCGCTGCCCATGTGCTGTTGTTATCCTTAGGTCCCCTGGAAGAAAAGGGGCTTTGTACTGCCGCTTATGTGGCAGCGATAAGGTTTCTTAGAGGAGCACATATGTTTATATCTGGAGGTATGTGTGTGGACATAAAGTGCTTTTTTTGGCTCAGGTCTTCATTTAAACTGCCCAAGGTGTGGACAGTAGGCCAGAGTTGCTTTTTTTATGATCCACACAAAATACAGTCTTTATGTGGCCAATCAAACCAGGAAATGAGTCAAGGTTTACTGATTGGTCAGAAGAAGAGAAATTAGATTATCCGTGACGGCACCATCAGACTGAATAACACAACAATACAGTTTAGGTAGTCCCAGTGAGGCAGTTGCAGGTTTTAGGCTATCTGGTGAGACGCAGAATACGGCTATATGGGGAGGAACACATTTTTTCAGGCAGTAGCCACTGTTGTTTGCAGCAGGAGACAAAACCCAATTTCAAGACTTCCCTCTAGGTCACTGATTACAGACTGGGTTTAGAAAATCAAACGTTGCAGTATTGCTGTGTTTGTCCTGATGTCAAGATAGATGTGACTTTATTCAGAGAAATCAATCAACAGCCCAAATGTTGATCTGACCAACAATTGGCTCACTAATTTAGTTTTGATATGTCCAAATACTAATGCTAGGCACGTGACTACTGATCTATTGTTCTGGTGACATATACTGGGTCCAATAATGCAATTTCATATAATGTATATAATATAAAACGTAATGTCGTTTAGCGCTCAGCCTCTTCAAAGCCGTTTGAAATGTTTCAGATGTAAAACTGAATATTGCTTCCAATATGTGTATCTAACATGGTCTGTGATGGCAACAGCTCAGGTTGCTTAAAGAGTGGGGCTGTCTCTTGTGACTGCGTGGAGACAAATCACTGGCCAGAAGCTTCAATAGGAAGCTGAGTAGATCTGGGGCTCTTCGCTGACAAATTTGCATCCAGGTGGCAAACTTTTTTTCTGTGATGAGTGGAAAACAGGGGCTCCAAGTATTTTGAGTGAAAGCCATCTCTGTATGGTTTTTAGGACTGCTGTCTCTCTGGGTTGAGCCTTTGATATACAGTTAAGACCTTTGAAGGGGGTCCGCTGCCAGCTTCATGGAAATACAGGAAAGGCGTAAAAGAGAGAAAGAGAGGGAGGATGAAGGCAGTCATAGAGGTAGTGAGTTCTGGGGAGAGGAAAAGAGAGAATATAAAACTTTGAATGTTTGCTGGATGTGGATGTTAACGTCTTGTGGGTTTCTCTCCATTCCCTCTACCTCCACCCGCAGCAGCTCTATGCCGCCCAACTTGCCAGTATGCAGGTCTCTCCTGGAGCCAAGATGCCTCCACTCCCCCAGCCCATGAATGCGAGTGGGCCCATCTCTCCATCATCTCTGAAGAATGACAAGAGTTCCTCCAGCCCCATCACTCAAGTCAAGGTACAACTCTCAGCTCCTTAAACCAGCCCACCCCAGAACCCAGACGCTGAGAGGCACTTGACCTAACCCAGCTTTGATGATGTTGTCTGATAAAACTAGTACCTACAATGTTCACTTCTTCAGTGTTTCAGCTGGCTGGTTGTGAGCCCAGCCTCTAACAGGCCATCAATCTCTAGAGCTTTAACAAGGCCCTCTCTCAACCAGAACTCTGTGGACATGGTTGCTATAGTTATGGCAACTCCAAGCCAGTAATTTGTGGAACACATGTTTTTTTTCTTCCACAATGAAAAGTCCTTTCTTCTTTTTAGTTACTAAAATTGAAATAAAGCCATTACAACAGTGGCATACAACTGCTGACAAAAGTGAAGAAAGAGTAGGATCGACAACTCTCTTTTTTCCCTCCATAAACAAACCAAATATAGAGTGTGTTTTCTGCTGCTGTATGGCATAACTCCACTAAATCTCAATGCAAAGCAAAAGCCACATACATCATTCTCACTCTCTAAGACCATAATCAGAAACATATGCCCATTTTGAAGTAGTTTAGCTTAATAATATTACAATGAAGAAAGACCATAAATCATGGTAGGAAAGAGCTCCAGCTTCTCTTCACTCACACACTCAAATTCAGGTCCCTTGCCTCCTGGAATTTCCATCAAACTGACTCAACCCTAATTTCATAATACAAGAACAATTGTCTGTTTATCAGAGTAGATTAATGTCATTAAGCCTAATACAAAACTCCCAGTTCAAATGGAATTATAACTATTCTGAAAAACAAAAAAATGAAGGTCTTTAAGAAAATTAATTATACATGAATAAATTGACGGGAAAACATGTACTGGCATCTTCCCAGTTCTATCCACACTTCAGCAGAATCAGATTGCCTTCAGTTTTGTTTGTCTGTTTTTAGCTTCCCTGCAAGACAAACTGTTATTGGCACAGTAATAACACGGCCTTGGGGCAGTCTATTCTTGAGCCATATGTTTGGATAAGAAGACACTTGGGCTCTGAAAAATTCTATAACTGATAACATGAGGCTTAATTTAATTTTAAAGACCGTGCGGGGTACACAGGGAGATATATTCTGTGCAAATTGCTATTCCTCATCTGGAATACAAATGTTTGCATTGTTTCCCACGGTCATTCAGCATTTATGATTGTAAAGCTAGTCATATGTGTAGATTGCGCTTAAAGGGTTGTTTAAAGATTACCTTCTTTTCCTTATCATACCAATTATACTACTGATTACCTATACTTTAGATCAAATAGATAGATAGATAGATAGATAGATAGATAGATAGATAGATAGATA